TTCTACAAGAGAAAGGAATTTCAAATAAAAACAATGGACAAAACATAATGAAGTAAAAGGTATAGATTTAACCATACACAAATTGGAAGAATGCACATGTATGTACGTGTGATAAAGAAATGGAGGTAAGGATCACTTAGATTTTTATAATAGTCTAGATGAGAGGTAATGAAGACTTGGAATAAGGCAGGAAGATAGAGTAGTGACTGATGTAAAGAACTGAGTCACCAGCTGAAAGCAGGAAAAGAAGGAGAATCTAGGATGATCTAAATGACTAGTTAAACTTGGTTCCTTTCACTAAACTAAAGAATGCTGGAGAGGCCGTGCGCGGTGGCTCACGCCTACAATCCCAGCACTTTGGGAGGCCAAGGCGGGCGGATCACCTGAAATCAGTAGTTTGAGACTGGCCTGTCCAACATGGCAAAACCCTGTCTCTAATAAAAATACAAAATTAGCCGGTCATGATTGTATGCACCTCTAATCGCAGCTACTAGGGAGGCTGAGGCAGGAGAATTGCTTGAACCCAGGGAGGTGGAGGTTGCAGTGAGTCGAGATCAGGCCGATGCACTCCAGCCTGGGTGATAGAGTGAGACTCTATCTTAAAAAAGAAAGAAAGAAAGAAAGAAAAGACTGCAGGAGGACAGATTTAAGGGAGAGACAAATAGTTCAACATTTTAAGTATTAGGTTTGAAGTGCCTATGGGACATCATAAATGAGACATCTACAGGCAATTCTAGGTTTGAAGCTCAAGAGAGGTCTGGGTTGGGAACATAGATTTGGGGGCCATCTGAATCTAGAATGTATCCAGACTTTCTGGATCATCCCAGTAGAGTTAATTGATTTTCCCTCTCATGTTTGACTCCTGTAATCAGACAATGAGGTCCTTGAAAGCAGGGACTATGACTTATTCGTCCTTGTACTCTTCTGAGGTAAGGTTATTTCTGAGGGTACAAAACATATATTTGTTTTGTGTGTATTTCATGTGTAGACATGGATGTTTTCCTGAAGAACTAGTTTTTCCTTGGTTGGAAAAGCCTCAAGCTAGGTGTAGAAAGCAAGACTGCGAAAGAGCAACTGAAAGATGAAGATGTAAGGAAAATGGGAAAGGGAAGAAGAATTTCTGTTCAGAAGACCATGTTGCCCCTGAGTGTGGAACACCCAGGGGCAACATGATCTATCACCTGTTGATAGCCCAAAATCAAATAGTATGAGGTTCTTGTAAGCTCTGCGGACAGAAGGCAGAGAGCTTAGACACTTGAGCAGAAATGGGCAGTTGAACAGAAAAGATCACACTCTGCCCTGGGAAGAACTAAAGAACAAGTCTGAAATTTCCCAATGACATTGGAAAATGGCAAAATCTCAGAAGGATAAAAGAAAAGACAAAGGGACGGATAAATATTTACAGAAATAATGGCCAAAAACATATACGTTGAAAACTAAAAATAATTGTTGAAAAAATTAAAGATCTAAACAAGTGGAAAAACATCTCATGCTAATGAATCAAAAGAGACTTAATATTGTTAAGATGGTAATACTCCCCAAACTGATCTATAGACTCTATGTAAAACCTATCAAAATCCCTGTCTTCATATTAGACATAGAAGACAGAAAGTCTTCATAGAAGAAGTGACGTTTGAATGTTGCTGAAAAGAAGAGTAGAAATTTTCTTTTGGCAAAGAAGGGGCTTGCAGGGCAAAGAAAGCAGCAATAAGAAGATGTGAAAACTTGATAGAGTTCCTACCAAAGGTTCATCTTTCCCATGCATCATCCCCTCCTGTCTCTTCAGGGAAATTTGCTTTTCACACATCTGCATCCCATCGCCATCTTTCTCTTCAGAGACGCTTGCTATCTTATCAAAACTGACAAAGTTATTACAAAATTCATATCAAATGCAAGGGACCCATAGTAGCTAAAACAATTTTGAAAAAACAAAATTGGAAGAGTCACACTTCATCAGTTAAGACAGTGTGGTACTGGCATAAGGATAGATACATAGAGAGAGATCAATGAAATAGAATTGAGAACGCAGAAATAAGCCTTCTCATTTATTGTCAATTGATTTTTGACAAGATGCCAAGCCAATAAAATGAAGGAAAGAATAAAATTGAACCACTACTCACACCATACACAAAAATAAACTTAAAATGGATGACAGATCTCCGTGTAATACCCACAACTATAAAGGTCTTAGAACAAGACACAGGAGTAAATCTTCATGACCTTGAATTAGGCAATAGTTCCTTGAATATGACACCAAAAGCACAAATGACAAATAGATAAGTAAGTAAATGAATAAATAGGACTTTATAAAAACTTTTAAAAATGTGCTCCAAAAGGCATGATTATGGAAGTGAAAAGTCTACAGAATGAGAGAAAATATCCTCAAACTATCTCATGAGAAGCTTGAATTTAGAATATTTAAAGAATTTTTATGATCCAATAATTTTTTTTTCTGTAGAGATAGTCTTACTTTGTTGTCCAGGCTGAAGTGCAGTGACATCATAGTTCACTGCAGCCTCAAACTCCTAGGCTCAAGAGATCCTCCTACCTTAACCTCTCGAGTAGCTGGGACTACAGGCATGCACCATTCTGCCTGGCTTATTTGTTTGTTTTTTGTAGAGACAGGGTCTCATTATGTTGCCCTAGCTGCCCTCAAACTCCTGGACTCAAGCAATCTTCCTACTTCAGCCTTCCAAAGTACTGAGATTACAGGTGTGAGCCACCATGCCTGACTACAACTCAATAATAATAATAAAAAAGATTCTATCAAAAATGAGCAAAGGATTTGAATAGATACTTGAATATATACAAATAGCCAATAGCATATGAAAAGATGCTCAA